AAGACCTAGATACACTTAGCCATATTCGAAGTTGCCTTCGCCCTAGACGTGAAAGGTTTTAATTTCTGAGGGTTTGGTCCCAAATCTCTCTTTCAATTATTTTATTTAATTGTTTTGTTGTTTATTATTTTCCTTGAAGTTACTAACGCGTGTATTTTGTTATTAGAAAGAGGTACGAGGCATCCAAGTAAGTACTTTAATGGTTTAATTGATATTATGATATAGAAATCATGCTTAGATTGTTATTTTGATTCCTAGTATCATGTCTAGGGTAACTTTAATATCAAGTATGATTAAAAGTATGATGCTTCCTATGTTCTTCCTATTATTTATGATTATTAGTATCATGTAAGGGTTAAAGCTTTGATTTTTATATGTTTAGTGACATGCTAGGGTTTGTTATTAATCTTGTTAGTATCATGCCTAGGATCTTGCTATTAATATTATGCTTTAACATGTTTATGATGATTATTATTATAATTATTGTGATGATTATTTATTATGTTGCTTGATATATTATATTTATTGCTTGATCACACCTTTTATGCATGTTTAAAGGGAATTGGTACTTGTAATCACGCTTAATAAGATAATTAATAATCTTGTTTAGGGTTAATTTGATTATAATTCAAGTGATCGCCAATAATAGGTTTTATTTGTGCATTAATATTCAACCAACATAGATAAACAGGTTTAGGGTTAATCCTATTGATTGTATGTTAGTTAGAAAGCGCATATGAATACGATCAGAATAAAGTAAAGGCCTATTATTAGGGCAGGTTCAATCTCTTTTAGGTTAGATTTGTACCTTCATCCCCGAACTACCAGTCATGGTTCAAGACCTATTGGAGTTGACGATCTCTTGGATCGTTAAGGGGTGTAACCTTCACCTCGTAAACGGTTTACAAGTTCATAAAAAACTTGTTGGCGACTCTTTTACTCTATCTTCTTTCCCTTTGGACGCCACCATACTTTAGTGTATGATCACAGTGGGGTTCAAGCTAGGGATAACGCTTGAAATATTCCCTACAGTAATATATCTCATTTATAGTAGAAACCTCTCAAAGGTTATATTATTTAGAAATAATTAAAAGATTGACTTGTTTTTGGCGAACGCTCAAAGGTTGTATTATTTTTGACCATTTTTCCTTCTTTTTATTACTTCGTACTTTTCTTATGATGCATAGAAAGAGAATAAATAATGTAGATGTGATTTGATCTTAATTCCTCACTATCACCTTTTAAGACTTACTCAACTAAAATAGTTGATCATTCACTTCCTTATTTTTCTATAAATCGTTGCAGGTAATCTGATCTAGAGCAATTGTTATAAAAAGTAGTGCAACTAGTGGCGGATCCAGGAGGTACACAAAAGGTAGAGTTGTACCCCCCATTTCAAAAAAAAAAAATGTTAACCAAAGAGGCTAGTTAATAAGAAGAACCAGTCTCTTAGGTAGTGTAATACGAACAAGACAGACAATCTTGCGTGCTGCACTGTTGCGCCATTTGTACTCTCTGTATGACTAATTAAAGAGACCTGTGAGACTTGTCCATTCCTGATCCGAACCGGTAACCCGACCCGACCCGATTCCAAACCCGTTTCATTAAGAGAAAACCCGAACCCAACCTGACCTCAATGACCCAAAATGGACCTGATTTGACCCATTATCATAATTTGTAATGATCCAAACAATCTAAACCACTTGAATCAGATGACCCAAACAGTCCGAAATTTGACCCGAATCCGACCCATTAACCCGAATTGACAGGTTTACCCGTGTGTATGGATACCCGATCGTTTAGGTGTGCTCTTTTAATTTTATTTAAACGTAACTTATTTTGTGCTTTTTATATTTTTTTTATTTTTATCTTTATCTTCTTCCAAATAAATTCTATATGCTCATTGCCTCATGGGTGTAGCAAATTTAGCAATAATATTATTTGTACTTTGTAATTTTTTCACACAAATTTATATAAATTCTTTGAAAAAAAAAATTTAGATATTTTTTCATTGTAAATTTTCTTGTATTCCGTTTATATATCTATGTATCCTTCAAGTAATATACTTGTGTGCTAGATTATGGTAATATATCAAAAGTAAGTGTATGTGATAAAGTATACTTAATACAATTATATATTTACAATAGGGCTGAGCAAAACTATCCGAAAACCCGATACGTAATCATTTCGAAAATTAGGGTAGTCAATCCGTTAACCATTACGGTTCGGATACCCGTTTTGATAACTTGTTATCGGGTATGGTTATTGAGTCTTTAAAAATTAACGGTTACCCGATCCAATTCGATAAGCAATTTTTTTAATTTTTTTCCTACTTAAATTTATTTATTTATTTATTTATTTATTCAAAATCTAAACTCTTACTTTACTTCATAATCACTTTATAATATCAATGATTAGTAATATTATTAATATTAGGTCAAGATCATGTGGTATTGTTAATTAGTGTTAAATGATATTATAACAACAACATTATTAAGTTTAATTATCATTATTATTGAATATCTTATTGGGTATCTGATAACCAATCTGAAATTACGGGTACCCGTACTTATTGGTTCGGTTTATGGATATCACTTTTAGTGATATTGTATTATTTCAGATGATATACTACAAGATGGGGGGTGAATTGTAGTAAGTAACTTAGTGCCTAATTTTTGCGGAATGTAAAATAGTTATAGTTTGGAACTTAGAGAGTGCAAAGCAGATTTTACGAGGAAACCTTCCAGGGCCCAACTAGAAGTAAAACCTTGACCCACCAAGGAATTTTCAACACAACCATTTCACTATAATAGGGCGAAACACCTAGTTACATCCTATTATACACGGACCTTTCTCGCAAGTTCCACCAAAGACACTTGCTACCTGATACCTGATAGGAATGAACCTATCCTACCCGACCCAAGACACACTCAGATTCCTTTCACCCGACCCAAGAAACACTTAGGTTCCTTTAACTCGACCCAAGACACACTCAGGTTCCTTTAACTCACTGTGCACTCACAGCTACCACTTGAATTTTAGAGAATTCAAACTCAAACACTCAAATGTGAATTTTCAAGTATTCACAAACATCCCTAAAACCCAAAATACTCAAACCCTTTTTCCCATTACAAGATCTCATTGAATAACTCTAAATACATATATATGAATAAAGAGATAAAACTAATATGTTGGACACTCGAGATCTATCTGGAACTCATTGGACGTATTGTAACCAAAACCTGATAAGAACTTTGACCAAAAGGACTTACTTAGCTTCGTGGTGAAGGATAAAATCATTAAGCACGACCACTACACTTCGTTGGCCTCAACTTTGAATGAGTACATATAAGCATATTTATAGTACACTCGAATTATTCATTTCACCTTGAAAAGATAGATTTTATGAAAAAATAAGTTTAGAAGAATTTTTTTTAAAAATAAGTTTTCCAAAAACATATCTTTTTGTTAAGAATAAAATATGTCAATAATAATAAGATATAATTAACATAAAATCATATTTTATTCAAGACTTATCTTTTTGTTTAAAAATACTTTTTAAACAAACTTATCTTTTTCCAAAAGGGATTTATTAGAAAATAAATATCTTTATTCAGTAAAACCAAATCCCTAAAAGATATACACCGACTTTAAAACCGACTTTTAAAGACGTGTATACTTAAGTTACTGTTAGGTTCAAAACTCTGATAGTCTCTGAGTTCCTGACAAGTCAGTAACTCTAATTTCATTGACTGTCTGGAGTTCACCTTGGTTCTATATAAGTTTGTTCTAGACCGACTTTTATGTCCAACATACTTACATGAATTCTAGAGCAATATACTTCTATTTCTCCGTCTTCATGTTGCTTCTTTGAGACTCTTGTTCTGGAATCCTGTAGTCTTGATGTATTCTGGATCTCAGGTTTTGCCCCAGCATTACACCGGAACCAGGTCGTTACACCCCGTTGCGAAGTTCCTGTAAGGGAACTCCTTGAAGTTCCATTTCTGGAACTCTTCTTCTGCTTTACTTGTCATCCTCAGTCTTCTAAAGTTCCTTTGTTTTAATTTAGTCCTCACTTCAACTTCCAGATTTTACTTATCGTGCAAACATCAGAACACTAAAAGACTCTTATTATATAGAAGTTTGCTCAACCATTAACATCATCATCAAGACTTCTTTTTGATGACAAACTGAGCAAACTTCTGAGGATAACAGAATAAAACAGAAGGTTATTTTTATTTATAAAAACAATAAAGAAAACTAACACAAAACCAAACTAAGCTAGAGCTATCAAACTGGAAAATTAAACTAAATTAAAAGACTCCTACACATACATGACCTATATATGCATAGGATACTTACCTCGTGAAACTAACATATGTAAACACCTATTTACATAGTTACCTTCATGGTTCCTTCGCCATCATCATGTCCATCAACCATCACTCATCATTGCTTTCTTGTTCCCTCTATTGCTTATCATATATTTCTCAAGTTCCTTATATATATACCTGTCATTACTCGAGTTCCTTGTACCCTGTTCCAGCATAACTTGTTCTTTATATGCACAACTAAACAAACATATTAGATAGATAATCATTATTAGTTTATAATCATCAAAACCTAATTACTCAACATATTGTTTATTGGTTACCCAAACTGTTAATACTAATAGTACGGGTACTCGTCTCATGTCCATCCCTAATTCAAGTATCTTTTAATGTATATGTATAGTTGTTAACTTCAAATTATAATTTATATGATTGGACGGGTATTTGTTTTGTTCTTTTATAGACAAATTTAAAGGTGGACGGAATACATGCAATGACGACGAATAAGAGTAAGAGGGTGGAATGTTAGTATATTTGTAACTAAAAGATTTATAGTTTATAATAAAACTTTTTTTACTGTTAAACTCCCTCGAAAGAAAGGGTTTTGCTCTCTAGAAGTAGGGTTTTTCTGCCGCGTTTCTTGGTGGCTCTTCTACTGTTTCCTTAGAGATGGCAGAGGAGATTATTGCTAAGTGCTCGAATTTGAGAATTGATGATGATGATGTTGGAATTGTGGACTTAGGGGGTGTGAAATCGACTGAACAAGCGAACAATTTTGATCTTCTTTTGATTGGGAAGGTCTTAACTGATCGCCCTTACAACGTGGAGGATTTTAGGGTAACGATGAAGAAGAGTTGGGCACTTCAGAATAACTTGGTGATTAGGGTGCTTGGACCGAACCTTTACGCGTTTCAATTCTTCCATTGGCGTGACAAGGAGAAAGTCTTGAATGGACGTCCGTGGTGCTTTGACAATATGCTTTTAATTCTAAAAGAGATTGACGGTAATGAACAACCAGAACAAATTCCCTTAACTCAGTCCCCTTTTTGGATCCGATTGAAAAATCTTCCCTACAATTATCGTTCAAACAATGATGTTAAGGCATTGGTGGCAAGTCTGGGTGACGTTATTGAAATTGAGGACGATCTGTTGGGGCTCGTCCGTTCTAGGCGAGTAAAAGTGATGCTAGACGTAACAAAACCTCTCAGGAGATCTCAGCGAGTCCTAGATAAACAAGGGAAAGAGGTGAGAATTGAATTTGCGTACGAGAGACTTCCTTTTTTCTGTTTTGCGTGTGGAGTAATGGGACATGATGAGAGAGATTGCAATGTTGTCTCGGAAGAGAGTAGGGAGCAGAGGCTGGGATGGGGCAAATGGCTGCATGCATCTCCTCGAAAAGGAAGGATTCGTGATATGGAAGAAATAGGTGAAATTGTTGCTGCGAAGAAAATTTTGTTTGTAACAAAAAATTCTGATGATGAGCCTGTCAGTGAGACTTTGAGTAAGCAGGTGGAGGAGCCTATTTCGAAGACTTTAATGGGGACTGAAGGTGTGAACAATGGGGAGCTAATAGTGCACACAGCACCTGATGGGGATAGGACTGAAGAGCAGGATAGTACGGTGGTCAATTTTACTGGAACACCAGGAAGAGATGAGAGTGGATCGGGAAGAAATAAAAAATGGAAGAAGGTGGAGAGGGCAACAAGGGAATATGATAGTGTGATGACAGAAGCTCATAATACTGTGGAGTTGGGGGAGCGTGCTAGGGAAGGGGGTAAGGTGGAGAAGGCAATAGCAAAAAATCAAAAACTGAAGGAGGGTAATATTTCTTCTGGATGGCGGGAGGCGGAGGTTGCCGATGAGCAACCCCGCCTAGCTCAAAGAGTATACTAAGTCTTAACTGTAGAGGGCTGGGAAATCCCTCTGCAGTTAGTGGTCTCCGAGACCTTATTCGGAGAGAGGTCCCGTCTGTGATATTTTTATCGGAGACGAAATTGAGTGCAACAGAGTTTAATAAGGTTCGAACGAGGATTGGTGATTTTGAGGGTCTTGTGGTGGATTCTATGGGGAGGTCTGGTGGTCTGGCTATGTTGTGGCGCAAGGGGATTGACATTGTTCTTCGATCGATGTCGGTTCACCATATTGACGTGGAAGTTAGGGATGGTTTGAGAGATATGGTATGGAGACTTACGGGTTTCTATGGTTGGCCGGAGATTCAAAATCGTGTTTTGTCATGGAAGCTGCTTGAGGATCTTGCATCTCAATCACAATTGACGTGGGTTTGTTTGGGGGACTTCAATGAAATTTTATTTTCGGCAGAAAAATTGGGGAAAAATGACAGAGCAGAGTGGCAAATGGAGAATTTCCGGAGGGCTTTGGCAGTATGTAGGCTTCGAGATGTCCCTTACTCGGGGTATAAGTATACATATGATAATGGTAGAGAAGGGGGTGAAAATACGCAATGTCGGCTTGATAGAGCACTTGTTATTGAGGATTGGATGACTTGCTTCCCGGATGCTCATTTATTTCACCTCGATAGGGATTGGTCGGATCATGCACCAATCAAACTTGAGCTTGGTACGAGAATGAAAGAAAGGCCGAGAGAAAAACCATTTCGTTTCGAACAGATATGGCAATCTAATGAAACTTGTGAGAGTGTCATTGAAAACGCTTGGCTGGGAGGCTTTAATCTAGAGTCAAAGTTGGAAATGTGTGCATCCGACTTGAAAGAGTGGAGTATGAAGAAGTTTGGGGAGGTGTTCAAAGAGCTAAGCAAAAAAAGGAAGCAACTTAATAAGCTCAACAAAGGAGGCTTAACTGCTGCCCAATTAGAGAAGAGGCGTTGGCTTGTGCGTGATATCGCAAACCTGGTGCAACACGAAGAAATTTATTGGCGGCAAAGGTCTCGGGTTTTACGGTTGGAGTCGGGTGACAAAAATACCAGATTTTTCCATCAAAGGGAATCAGGTGGAAAAGATAAAAACACAGTCCGAAAGTTGGTGGATGATGAAGGTGTAGCTCAGCTCGGGGAAGATAATATTAGCAAGGTGGCAGTGAGTTATTTTAAAAATATGTTCTCTACCTCTAACCCTCCCCTGATAATGCAAGCAGTACAAGATTTTCAGAGCCGAGTCACAGTTGATATGAATAAGATTTTACAAGCTGAGTATACGGAGGACGAGGTAAAATGTGCTCTTGATCAGATGCATCCAATTAAAGCCCCGGGGCCTGATGGGATGTGCCCGCTGTTCTTGCAATCTTACTGGAACATTGTCAGCCCATCGATTTCGAGTACTGTATTGTCCATCTTAAGAGGTATGCCTATGCCTTCGTATTTGAACAAAACTTTTATTGCACTTATTCCTAAGAAGAAGAATGCGGAGAGTATGGCGGATTTTAGGCCGATTTCCTTGTGCAATGTGGCTTATAAACTTGTGTCGAAGGTTCTAGCAAACTGATTATAAGTGTTTCTTGATAAAATTATTTCGGTTAATCAAAGTGCTTTTACCCCGGGGAGATTGATTACCAATAACATTATGGTTGCGTTTGAATTGTTTCATCATATGAAAAATTCGACACAGGTTGAAGGGAGTATGGCAATGAAACTTGATATGTCGAAGGCCTATGATCGGATTGAGTGGAGTTTTTTGGAAGTGGTTTTGGAGAGGTTTGGCTTCGATCAAAGATGGCGGGAATGTGTTATGGATTGTGTTAAATTCGTATCTTTCTTTGTATTGGTCAATGGGAAACCGACGGAGGAATTTATTCCGAGTAGGGGGATTCGTAAGGGTGATCCAATATCACCGTACTTATTTATTCTATGTGCGGAGATTTTTTCTCATCTGTTGAGACAAGCTGAGGAGAGAGGTAGCTTGAGGGGGGTGAGAATTGCTCCGTTGGCTCCGTCGATTAATCACTTATTATTTGCCGATGATTGTATTATTTTCTCTAGAGCTTCGTTGATAGATGTGTCTGCAATCCAAGATGTGCTTAGCCTGTATGAAGGGTCGTCAGGGCAAAAGGGAAATTTTGATAAGACAACCGTTTCGTTTAGTAAGGGGGTGGCTCAAGGGAGGTGTGTGGATTTGGCGAGTAAACTTGGTGTCAAGCTTGTTGATATGCATGACCGGTATTTGGGTCTTCCAACAGTGGTGGGAAGGTCAAAGAAAGTGATTACGAAGGGAGTAAAAGAGAAGCTGTGGAAAAAGCTTCAGGGGTGGAAGGGGATGGTTCTATCTAAGGCGGGTAGGGAAGTTATGATAAAGGCGGTGGCCCAATATCTCCCTACTTATGAGATGAGTGTGTTTAAGTTTCCATCCTCTTTTTGTGATGAGATTCGTTCGCTAGTAGCACAGTTTTGGTGGGGTCAAAAACAAGGTGAAAGGAAGATCCACTGGTTAGCATGGAGGAAATTATGTAGGCCAAAGAGTGAAGGCGGGTTAGGCTTTCGTGATTTTAAAATGTTCAATTGGTCCCTTCTTGGAAAGCAAGCATGGAGATTGATTATGAAGCCAAATAGCCTACTTGAACAAGTGCTTAAAGGGAAATATTATCCGTCGTCTTCTTTTATGGAGGCCGAATTGGGGAATTGTCCAAGTTATACTTGGAGAGGGATTTGGGAGGCAAGATGGGTAGTGAAGAGGGGTCTTCGCTGGAGAGTGGGTAATAGAGACTCGATCCGTGTGTGGGATGATCCATGGATACCTCACACACAATCATTACGGGTGTTGTCTTCGAAGGGGTTGAACAACTCGAATCTGGTTGTTAGTGATCTTATTGACCCTGTGAGAAAGTGTTGGGATGCAACCACAATTTCAGCTACTTTTCTGCCGATTGACCAAGACAGAATCTTGAGTATACCCCTGAGTGATAGGCTGCCAGAAGATACCCTCTGTTGGGATTTGGAGAAAGATGGCACTTATTCAAATCGCTCTGCCTATAGGACTCTTTTTTATGATGAATGGAAGCAAGAAGAGGAGGCTACTTCGTCCCCTAGAGTGATATGGAAGAAAATTTGGAATACTAATGTACTGCCAAGAATAAAAGTGTTTATGTGGAGAGCGTGTCAAAATGCTCTTCCCACCCGCAAAGGCATTGGTTCCCGAATTTCTGGCTATGATACTACATGCTACGTGTGTCACCAAGAAGTAGAAGATGTCCTCCACGCTATCAAGGAGTGTGCGCTTGCTCGTGATGTGTGGAGGTGCAGCAATTATAGGTTTGTGCTTTCCTTAAAATTTCGAAATGTTGTGGATTGGTGGGAGTATTTGTTGAAGGAAGTGGATGAGGTTGATGTGGAGATTATGTTTACGATTTGCTGGGCTATTTGGGGAGCTCGAAATTCCTTTGTAATTGAAGGCACACAACCGGACCCAATGAGTATTATTGCCTATGCGCTGAAGGTGTGTGGGGAGGTCAGGGACGTGAGAGATAATGAGGGAAAAGGGGTAATATCGAAGGTTGTGCAACATGCTGAGAGGTGGAGTAAGCCAAGTGAGGGGTGGGTTAAAATGAACGTGGATGCGGGGGTGCTGGGAGAGGCAGGGACTGGACTTGGGGCTATTGCCAGAGATAGTAATGGAGTAGTATTGTGCGCCGATGTGCATCAGGTTAAGGAGAGGTGGGGGTGAAGGAAGCAGAGGCTAAGGCAGTATGGTGTGGGCTTCAGTTGGCAAGGGATAGAGCGATTAAGAGGGTCGTGTTGGAGAGTGATAGCCTGCTGGTCGTCCAAGCTTTGCGAGGAGCTAGTGCAGGGCGTAGTACTTTTCACTTGCTTATAGAGGATATTACAAATGTTGCTGCTAGTTTTGATGTTGTTAAATGGTCTTTTGTAAGGCGTAATGGTAATCGTGTTGCTCACTATTTGGCTCATTTCCAACCCTGGGATTTGGGACAAAGAATGTGGGTTGATCACTTACCACATGATGTAATTGCTCTTGCTGCTGATGATATAATATAATCCCCAATGTGAGGGGCTTTTAAAAAAAAAAAAGAGTAAGAGGGTGGAATAAATAATTAGTTGAAATTTTAATATGGTAAATTTGGTGTTTTAAATTATAAACCTAAGTTCCCGAATCCACCACTGGGTGCAACTAATCTAATACGTGTCTCTCAAGTTATTAATTAATACCATTTATGTGATCATGTGGAGTGACTTTAATTTTAATTCATTTTTTTTTGGGTGGTGTGCTAAACTCTACCTAAGTTTATAGTACGGTATTTTGTTTAGAAGGGCGTGTTATTAAGTAAGGGTATTTTCTCATACGATTATTTTAACTTTAGTTCAGTTCAGTTCAGCTCTAATAAGTTCAGTTTAGTTTAGTTCAGCTCTAATAATTTCAGTTCAGTCCAGTTTAGCTCAGTTCAGTTCAATTCAGCTCATTTCAATCAATGAGAACGGACCCTAAGTGAAGGTTGTATTAAACATTTTTTTTTTAAATGGTGCAGAGAGAGCTACAAGAAGAAATAATGTAGATGCGATTTAATCTTATTAGATTTTGAGTATCACCTTTCAAGACTTAATCATCTAAAATGATTGATCATTCATTGCAAGTAATCTAGAACTAGAAAAAAGAAGTGGTTCAACTAATTCAATTTGTTTCTCTGGAGTTTTATACTCCTACAATTCTAATATAGAAAATGCAGAAATTGTTGGTTGTATGATATTACTACTATTACTAACAACTTTGATTTAATTTGTTGGTTGTATGATATCTTACACTAATAATGACATAATGATTCACAGAAATTGTTGTTCGTTGGATAAGATCTTAATATACGTAATTTTAAAGCAATAAAGCACCCGGAAAATGCAGAGAAACCAAACTAAATTTACCAAGTCAAAACTAAAGTATTTTTTTGGAATGATTATCTAGATTCTATTTCATTAATTTGTCTTCATCTTTTCCTCAAAAAAAATTGATTTCATCTTCGCATTTATTAATTCGATTTTGATTTGCATGTTTGGCTGCCTAGCAGTACTTTGACCGGACGCCTTGACCATTTCCACCGTAACAATCATTCGAAAAAAACAAGTTGGCACATAAAAGTTACAAAAATAAAAATTTGGTCAAACATTTTATTTGAAGGGTGGGCAGAATAAGATTTTTTGGAGGTTTGCAAAGTCAAAGTTGTCATCTAGAAAGAGTTTGTTAACCTCTCTTTCTTATGAAAATATTTAGAAAGATTAACAAGGCACCAAAGTAAAAGTGACAAGTCTTGACAACTAATATATAATCTCTATTCTGACTTTCGCAATCACTTTTGTTTCTCATAATTAGATTCTAATATTTTTTAAATAACCGAATGTGATCTTATTTGATTCATTTTAATGTGCAATTAACAATAATAATAATTTTTTTATAATATATATATATATTAAAACTCATGGTAAGAATTGTAATTATGCCACGTGTCATGATTTTTGCCACGTGTCGTCATGACTTGATAAATGATGTGGGGTTATGTGACTCATGTCATATTAAATTATATCATCAATGTTTCCTCACAAAAAATTTATGTTAATAAATTCTAAATATATATATATATATATATATATATATATATATATATATATATATAGCAAATTGATTTCAATATAATTCCATTCTTTCATTTTATTCATCCATAATTCATATAGGTTATATGTACTACATGTTTAAAATATGTAACACAAAAATATATAGCAATTTTAAAACCACAACATGTGGTTTCTTTGAAGAAATTTATAATGGTAGATAAAGATTCATGTAACAAATAAAACAAACTAATATGAAGTATAAAAGTTAGGTTATTGCATATTTCATAATGAATTTTGAAAAATTCAATAATATTTTTTTAAATTATAAAACCACCAATATATTTCACTTTAATTTATTATAATTTTTTACATATAAAAAATGACTCGGGGCATCGCCCGGGCCTAGAACTAGTTATGTACTTAAAGATGTACTACCTTCGTTAAATATTATGTGCAATTTTGGAATATTTTATATATCACAAATAATGCCTCAAAATTGCACATAACCATTAAACAAGGTAGTATATGATTAAATGTGTGCACTTTAAAATGAGCAACGAAAAAAAAAAAAAAAAAAAAAAAAAACTGCCAAATTTGTTTTTAAACACCTTTTCTAATAAGTTTCATACTAATGGAGTGTGTTTCCAATTGTAGGGAATTCTTCGCTTTTTTTTTTTTTTTTTTGGTGTTTCACCTGATTCACCCTTTGTGTTTTCAATTTTAGGGAATTCTTCGCTTTCTTATTCATTTCATGTTAGACTTAACTTACATACACCATCAAGTTGATTCTATAGTTCTAGTATTAGGAACATATGTTCTAAATAATGTCATTCAATTAATTTCTAAGATGACATACACAACTATATACAACATCAATATAAATCACATGAGCTACGCATGTTCCAATTTACTGAAAACAACTGAACAGAACTGACTGAATAGAGCTGAAATGAATTGTTTAAGAGAGAAGGAAATTAGGAATAAAACTAAATTGAACTGATTGAAGCTAAACTGAATTGAAATTAAGTTAAACAGAACAGGACCTATTTGCTAGTTAGGAGTTTATGACAAACTAAATTGATTTTTTTTGGTGTTTAGAGAACCACAAGGGCTAGTAATGAAATCGATCTTAATATCACATGGAAGCGGAAGGGGAGTTCTAATCATTTGATCTATCCCTCACTCTCACTAAATTGTTGAGAATATTAGAACATCAATAAGATAAGGGACATTTAAAATGCTTTAAATATAAGAAGTATTTCACTTCGATTTTCCACTATTAAATTTTAAGTAACCATGTTAGCAGTGACGGACCTACGTTGGTCACGCTGGGTCACGTGACCTGGGGAATTTATTTTTATTTTTTTTAAAAAAAAAAAAGAAAAAACAACAAAGCTATATAAAAGGAAATGAAAGCATATAATTAGCTATTGTGCATTGGTGGTTCAATGATCTAGCATTACTCTTTATAGACAGTTGGCGCAAGTTCTAATCTTGGGACTAGCATTTTCGGAACTTTTTTTTAAACTTGACAATTTATATAAGTAGCAATGTAGCATTATAAGATTAACTTGACAATTTATATAAGTAGCATTATAAGCTTTATAGACCATTATGGATTCATTTGTATGATTTCTTTGCTTCATTTATTCTTTATTATATATTTTTTTCTTTCCATTAAAAAAATAATCAAAGCATACACTATTAAGGAATAATTAGTAATTGTTATAATTCTAATTATTTTGTTTATTAGTTTTTTCTATTTTTACTCTAGTCAAGGATTATTGTCATTAGTTTTACCCTTTTTTCCTTAATCTATACTACGTCTAATTTTTAACACAATCATACTTTAAGTGATTTAATCTTAGCTATATTTTATTAATGCGATCAATAACGGGTAACCTAAATTCATTATATGAGCTATATCAATTAATTATATCAATAACTATTATTGGAATTGTGACTTAATTTTCAGAATGAAAAGGAAAAAAAGTGTGATATAACAACAAGTTTCTTTAGTCCAAAATTCATCCTCCTCTTCCACAAAATCATCCTCTTCAATCACAAAATCATCCTCCACAAATTAAAATTCACCTCTTGGATCGATGGGTATGCGATTAATGGGTGACGGTGACCCAGTACCCATAAAATCCTAGACCCGCCACTGCATGTTGGAGTTATCATTTTTTGTCTTTATTTTAAGTTATAGGAATCACAAATATACAAAAAAAAACAAAAAAACAAAAAAAACAAAAAAAAAAAACAAAACAAAACCGAAATAAGGTAATTCAATTAATAACATAAAATTACAAGTAGCTGATGCATAAGTGACCATTTTATTTATACTTTAAAGGAAAATTTGCGAGGAAAATCCTTTTATGAAAAAGGTGGCACAAAAAGTCCCCTTATTTTATTTTCCCTCCCTTATATCTCTACAACTCTTCTTACGTGACTAGTAGCTACCCATCAATGGCAGTTCACAGTGGAAGGAATTAATTGTGAAATTAGGGTTTAATAATGGCGAAATTAGGAAGATATTAGGAAGTTGAGTGAGGAAGAATTGAAGATATGAGATTTATTTTATTATGAAATTAGGGTTTAATAATGGGGGAAAAGGGGGAAAATGAAAATCGAGGGAAAAGGGAAAAAAATATCATTTAAGTGGTCACGTTCTATGCACGTGACTTTTTTTGGCCGGAAAAAACTATCAACGCCAGAGTTTGGTCAAAGGACCCTGCTCACAACCCAATGCCGATAAAAGGACCTTTTGTGCCACCTTTTTCATAAAAGGACATTTCTCACAAGGTCGACCACTTAGAAGGACCTTCCTTGTAAATTTTCCAACTTTAAAAGTATTATAACATTTTACAACAAAGAGTAGCTAAAAACATTAAACATATTGATTTCAGTAATATAATTGTAAAGTTTTTTATTTATTTTAGTTTAGTTTTTGACAAGAAAAAAAAAAAACTACTTGAAAATCTAGAACGAATACTATTGTTCACGATCACAGTAGCAAACCAATGAGCCGAAGCAACCCTAGATAGAGGAACCTTCCTAATACAACAGATCCATACTAAATTTGATTTACTATAAGTACTTTGATCAAAATAAATATTTATGTAAACCAGATCCATATAAAATTTTGTACTCTCAAATTTTTGAATAATTTTTACAAAGTATTGCACTATTATTATTATTATTATTATTATTATTATTATTATTATTATTATTATTATTATTATTATTATTATTATTATTATTATTATTAAACATATCCCAAGAGGCTACTCATTCATTAGTAGGGAGATCATAACCCAAAAAAGGAACAATACAATAATCAGGGAAATTCGACAACCAAACTCTATCCCCCGGCACCCACGGAATGCAGTGAGCTAACTCGTGCGCGACTTTATTCCCCTCCCCACTAGTAAAACACCACGAAACAAACTCAACGGAATGTATTACATGATAAATATCATAAAAAAAATGAAGACTAATCTCACCTCTCTCATGTGCCTTGATTGCATTCAAAACCCCTAAAAATCACTCTCCACCACAAATTCTTCTCGCACCAAAATCAGCAGCAGCTTGCAAACCCAGCAGAATGGCCTTCGCTTCTGCTATGTTGGGCTCCCATTTGTCTTCGAGCATCCATGAGGCAGCCTTCAGAGCTGCACCCTCCGCTCCCCGCAACACATCAGCACCCAGCCCCTCCCTCATTCCTCCATCGACATTCAGCTTCAGAAACCCAACTGGAGGTGGCTTCCAACGCTATTGCACCCTTCTACCCCCATAAGTCGTCCTTGACTCCTCCTTAGCAAGCTCACCCATGGTCTTCTTTTACATACTGCAACTATTTATTAGTGTTAGTGGATCAACTCAACCAAAAGTTTAAATTGATGATTAAGGCCCAAGAATATGTTTTATACTCCATCACGCCCCCTTATACGAGAGCCCGTTGGGATAGGAGTGTGGATGTAGCATGGGTCCCCCTTACACTCTGCGCTTAATATTCCCCTTGAAAGTGGGGGGTGGATGAGATTCGAACCCGTGACCTTTGAGTCACGCTAGCTCCGATACCATGTTAGTGGACTAACTCAACCAAAAGCTTAAACTGATGATTGAAACTTAGGAATATATTTTATACTCTATTTCTTAGGATCACATCTATCCCTCACCCTCGAAAATCCAGCAATTTCTTGCATTCCAAATAGCCCAACAAGTCGTGATAAACAAACCATGATCAGACCCAGGAAGAATTCAAGACATGACATTACCATGATCGGGTTTGGGTCGGGTTAACTTCAGATCGCTTCATGTTTGGTTTGGATACAATCACATCGGGTTCAAAACATGTTTGACCGGGTTAATCTTCGGTTGAATGACTTTGGATCGGGTTGCAGAAGTGGGTTCATTTAAAATATTTGTTTATTATATGAAAGATTCTCTTTTGTATTTTTATATTGAAAGAAAAGAACAAGTGGGGTGAAAGTGGAGTAGGTGAGGAGAAAGAAAATGTGGGATTTTTTTATTTATTATTATTAGTAGTTCCATTTCATATTTAGTAACGTGTCAAGTATTGTGGGACGGATGAATATAGAAACTGTATCGAGTATTATGGAACGGATGGAGTACAACCTAAAACAAGAGATTAGGAAAAAAAAAGTTTTTAGGGTTTAGAAATGTAGAGGCTCTGATACCATGTCAATAATTGATTTTCCTTAGGGCCTGTTTACATTTACTGAACTGAGTTGAACTGAACTGAACTGATTGGAACTCAACTGAACATAGCTTAAATGAATATTTTATGAGAGAATGAAATTAAGAGCTAAACTGAACTGAACTTAAATGATTGGAGCTTAACTGAATTGAATTAAACTGAACCAAAATTAAGCTGAAGTGAACAGGTCTTATTGTATATATTACTGTAAAAAGTTATGAGTAAGTATATATATACAACCTAAAACAAGAGTTTAAAGCTGATAACATTGGCTTGTTAGCTATACAATATTAGGCTTAACAAATCCATTATTTTCAGATTTTAATACTCCGTACTCTAAAAGTAAGGAATAAGGGTAAAAGATCTTTACCCTTAAAATGTTCCTAATATTGATTTGGAATGAATATGACAAGAAGATTGATCCCGTTACGTATTCTCGTTTTTTTTAGTTGACGGGAAGGTATACTCATTTTCAATAAATCAAGGTTAGCTCATCGACGATACAACTAATACAAGGTTAGCTCATAAACCAAGGTTAGCTCATTGACGATACAACTAATACAAGGTAAGAAATTGATCAATCGGATACGAGTTAGTTTTACCAAATTCTCAAGAAACTATTTTTAACAATTAGCGCTTATGAATAGTGCTACCCCTCATAAAGAGGAGAGAGAGTATCTAGATAAAAAATAAAAGAGGTGGTCGGAGAGGTAGGGCGTTGGGAGGGGTTTGACCTCTCTTGAGTGCTGACCACTTCTCACATTTTACAGATGACTTCTCTTCCTTTTTTTTACTCCGTATTTAATTAACCAAATTTCTTCTTTCTTTCGTTATTTTCTCTCTCCTACCAACCACCTTCTTCCTGTCTGTCCTAATTATCAAATCAAATTTCCTATAAAATTCTCCATTTCTCATTTACAGGTTTATCCACTTTTCCATTACCTCATTTCCAGACTTTTTTTTTTCTTTTCTTTCTTCTAGAAAAACACACATTCATTTTCTGGGTATTTTCTTCTAAATTTCAACAATTTTATTGATTATTTATTGGGGGGAAGAATTCCAGGTTGTATTTTTGAGATCCGCATTTTTTTTTCTTGTACAAATATTCTTCATTCTTAATTTCATTCAATTTCCTTTGCTTCCCTTCAAAATCATTATAATTTATTTTACCGGGAATTTCTTATAATTCAAAACCCTTTTAAATTGATCGAATTCATATCTTTCTGGGTTTTCAAGTTTCTGAATTGGGGTTTTTTGTTAGATCATTTTGACCCTAAATTGTTGAATTTTTCTGGGATAAGTTGCAATTTTTCTGGGTATTTCTAATTTCGTTGATCATAAATGGGGAATTGCTGTATTAGGCCAAATGGGGGTGAAGAAGTTGAGAAAAAGAGAGGGAAAAAAACGAGGGAAAACCCTTTTGCAACTGAATACAAATATGGAGGTTCAAAATTGGTAGTTTTGAAAGAACCAACAGGAAATAATATTGAGGAGAATTATGAACTAGGTAGAGAGCTTGGTAGAGGTGAATTTGGTATAACATATTTATGTACTGATAAATTAACTGCAGAAGTTTATGCTTGTAAAAAGATATCGAAAAAGAAGCTTAGAACTGCAATTGATATTGAGGATGTTAGGAGGGAAGTTGAAATTATGAGGCATATGCCTAAACACCCTAATATTGTGACCCTTAAGGATACTTATGAGGATGATTATGCTGTCCATTTAGTCATGGAATTGTGTGAAGGAGGCGAGTTGTTTGATCGAATCGTTTCAAGGGGGCATTATACCGAAAGGGCGGCTGCTATTGTTTTGAAAACCATTGTTGAAGTAGTTCAGGTGAAAATTTGTTGCAACTTTGAAGTTTATGTTATGGTGTTTTGAATTTTGATCATGGTATATTGTATGTTTTCTTTTATGTATTTGTGAGCTAGGAATTTGATCTTTTATTGGTAGTTTAGACTTGTTCAAATTTGGTTTAGAATAAATAACATGCTGCTTATATATGTTGATTATGGTTTTTGGTGAGCTAAAATTCAAGTAAAAATGAAGAATGCTTCATGTTAAAAATAGTTGACTAATCTTGATGAATTGACAACTATGATGCTTGTACAATCTATGTAATGTCTAATTGTTTATCAATGTGTTTTGATCACTCGATCATCTAGTTTGAAGACTTCCTGTTTAGAATTATTAGACTTTTGAAGTTTAGAGGACTTCTTGATTAAGTTGACCATCATGTGTATCGAGTTTTTGAAGTCTTATTTCAATCAGTATGTGAGATAGAAAGAAAGAAAGTTTTGTGGTTTTGTAATTTGTAGTAATTTCTTACTGCATTTTCTATTGATCATCATGTGGATTGACCTCTTGAATTTGGCTAATTGGTTATCAACTCTAATATGTTTATGATGTTATATATCAGGCATGCCACAAGCATGGTGTGATGCATCGTGACCTGAAACCCGAGAACTTCCTTTTCGGAAATAAGAAGGAAACAGCCCCTCTGAAAGCAATAGACTTTGGGCTCTCAGTATTTTTCACTCCTGGAGAAAGATTTAATGAAATCGTGGGGAGCCCGTACTATATGGCCCCTGAAGTTCTTAAAAGGAATTACGGCCCTGAAGTAGATATTTGGAGTGCCGGAGTTATCCTTTACATTTTGCTATGTGGTGTTCCACCTTTTTGGGCAGGTTGGAAACAGAATTGACACTCAGTTTTCTTATTTCAAGCTTATAACTACCATAGGAAATTGTCTAAATTTTTTTGTGTTAATTTTGTTGTTTACCAGAAACTGAGCAAGGAGTAGCACAAGCAATTATTAGGTCTCTATTAGATTTCAAGAGAGATCCTTGGCCTAGAGTTTCTGATAATGCAAAAGATCTTGTGGAAAAGATGCTTGACCCTGATCCTGCTCGCCGACTTACTGCTCAGCAAGTTTTAGGTAATGTCTCAAATCCATTCTTATTCATCTAAAACATGTTTCTTCTTAATGCCTTGCACATATTAGCTACATATAAATCTTTCAATTGAGATCAATGTGATAACTTAAGCCTTTGCTATTCTTGTTGCAGATCATCCTTGGTTGCAGAACATCAAAAAGGCACCTAATATTTCTTTGGGTGAAACAGTGAAAGCTAGACTTAAACAGTTTTCTGTAATGAATAAGCTCAAGAAAAGAGCACTAAGGGTAATGCTTCTACTGAATGAAACCCGGCATTTCACATATTTGATCAAGATTCTTTCTTAAGACATTTGTGTATATATTAACTGATCAAATTACTGAATAATTTCAGGTTATTGCTGAGCATTTGTCAGTGGAGGAAGTTGCCGGAATCAAGGAAGGATTTGCATTGATGGACACTGGGAAGAGGGGGGAAATTGGAATTGATGAATTAAAATCCGGATTGCATAAGCTTGGTCATCAGATTTCAGAAGCGGATCTCCACATTCTAATGGATGCTGTAAGTACTGCAACTCTTTTTGCTAAAAAATTTTGGCCTAATTGATAACCTTGCACCATGCACACATTTCTCTTGGCGCTTTAAATTTTTGCTTCAGAAGCAATTCTAGACTCAACACTTGGTTACAACTACATCTGAACTTTCCCATATTTATGCAACGTTTACCAATCGTTGGCATTAATTCTTTTCTGAGATTTTTATTATGTTGAGAATAACATACACTCCACTAGTCCACTCCCCACTCACAAGGTTTCTTCTAATTAGATAATCATGCAAATCATGTTATTGCTATACTCATTGGACAATTATCATGAATATCTTGCAGGGTGATGTAGATAAAGATGGATTCTTGAATTATGGAGAGTTTGTAGCAATAGCTGTTCATCTAAGGAAAATGGGCAATGATGAGCATTTGCAGAAAGCTTTCTTATTTTTTGATCAAAATAAAAATGGGTATATCGAGATAGAGGAGTTGAGGCATTCTCTAGCTGACGAACTTGATGACAATAGCGAAGAAGTTATAAATGCCATTATGAGAGACGTCGATACAGATAAGGTTTGTAAATTTGTTCTATCTTTTTAGTATGTAGAAAGCAGCAACAACATGAATATGCTTAATCAATAAGAATCTTTGGTTAATCTTTTGTTGCCATGAATGTAGGATGGACGAATAAGTTATGAAGAGTTTTCTGCAATGATGAAAGCCGGAACAGATTGGAGGAAAGCCTCAAGGCAGTATTCACGAGAACGATTTAATAATCTCAGCTTGAAATTAATTAAGGATGGTTCATTGCAATCGGCTAATGAGGGAAGATAACCCTTGGTGTGGTTATTAGAAGAGATTTTGGTTTTCTTCAAGTTCTTTCATTCTTGTTAGTGTTGTTTTGCTTTCATGAATTGAGATTCCCCTCTGTTTTTGGAAGATCGCGATAAGCACTTATGAAGCCTAGCTAGGGCGTGCCTGACATACAAAACATATGTTTTGGTGTTCTCATTTTTTTGTGGAACAGAATATCGAGTGAGCGTTTTTCTTCTTCTTTTCCCCATTTTTCTTGTAAGGGAGGAGGGGGGAGATTGTGCTGAAAGTGATGCATGCAAATTCGAAAAAAAAAAATCTCCAATTTTCGATGTAAATACATGTAATTTTCTCAAAAATCACAAATCTTAAATTCATAAATCATAATCCTGATTTTTACAGGTTAAATGATATTTATTGTTATATACTTGTGTAGATGTTCTAGTTATATAGAAATATCAATTATATCATATTTAAATAGATTTGATGAAGCAATCTAACAGAAAATCTTCAGCAACACAAGACCTGGCATTGTGCAGTTGGAATTATGAAATTGACAAAGATATGTTGAAATTTCAATATAAACGTGTTGGCTCGGCATTGGCGATATATTAATCATATCATTACATTACTTTGTTTATTATATTGTTGAGCTTAATAATGGTGCACATGTAAATTGTAGCACATTAGAGTAGAATAAATATGGGAGTAATCTGTTATATATGATGATCTATTCAAGTTTGGAGGGTTACTCTTTTTGACTATTGGTTTAGTGATAGGACTCCCTCCACTTGAGCTTTTGTAACTTGTAAGTCATCCCAACTTTTCTCTTTTGTGAGTTGGCTTTGAGGTTGGCTTCTTAATTATGTAGCTGTATATTTATAGGCATTAATCATCCAATGATCCAACTGTACAATGAAGTTGATTTTTATAAAAAAAAAAAATAATTCTTTCTATTTTGGTATGAAGCTTCTGCACTTCGACTAATGTGGATTTGAGGTATGTTGATTCTTAAGTAGAGAAACAGTCTCCTTTTCGACGTGATTGTATTCTAAAGGCTTGAATCCTATGTCTTAAGATAAAAGTAGTACATAACAAAATAATTAAAACTTGTGGCGATCTTTGGTATCATTTATTCATGAAACTTTTATGACCCTAAGAAAAGAATTTAACTTTTGGTGATTCAATTCGATACAGTGGCAACTTTTGTGTACAAGTTAATTAACTGTGAGAGTCAAGCATGCTTGAATGCAATTCTAGCAATTTCAAGGACCTTTAAATTATAAGTAAACCTTTTACTACATTGAGTAGGGATGCATCTTCATGATTTTTGTCAAAAGAGTATAGTAAAAAGAATATGAAGCACTGCTTTACACAATTACACCTAGCTTGTTGTGTACTTGTGTCACTGTGTGAACTCCTGTCTCCATCTCACTAAAATCTTGTGTTTTAAGGGCATTGGTGGATCTTGACCAAAAATATTAGAGGGGCCGGAATTTGAATCTCTTTTATCTCTTGCTTAAAACTAATCATCATGTCCTAATATTTTAAAAGTGAAATTAGTTCTTTAAGTTCATAAACTAATTAATATACCGGGGCCAGACCCCAAATGGCCCCGATGAAAGGTCCCCTCTGCTTAAAGGAATGTAAATCTATCTTTCTACTAGAGTTGCTTTCAAATCCAATTTCGGATTCTAGAGAACGAATAAAATAGCTAAACTCGCAGATGTGTAGATATCTCAAAGATTATGACGAGACTTCAATAACTAAACTCGCAGATGTAAAATTTTAATACTACGTAATTCTTGAGAAGAGCTCACCTTGATTTAATTCTTGTCATCACGTTAGATGCTTGCTTCTTACCTAAAAAAGGAAAAGAAAAGGACAAGTTTCTAGTTGGTTGGCATTATAAGATTAATAATTATGATCATAATATTGGACAAGACTCATAACAAGTGACCACAACCTAGAAAACGTATGAGGAAGGGTTGCATGTAAGCGGGGACTAGACATTCATTCGAAGGGCATGCAATAAGGTTGAAAAGAGCACCTTGCTCAATATTAATCCACCGAAAAGAATCTAGTAATGACCAAAAATACAGTTGAGTCTTAATTGGCCACACTAGACCTAGCAAATGGGTCGTTGAGCTCGGGTATAGGTCGGGTCAATTTTTGATCAAGTTAGTTGACATTCATGTTAGATATTGTCGGGTCGGGTCATTTTAAGTTTCGGGTATGATACGGGTCGACTTTTGAGTCGAGTCATTTCGGGTCAGACCTTTTTCGGTCATATTCGGGTCGGGTCAAAAACAAGTCATCAGGTCATGTTCAGGTTGTTCCATTTGTGGATCAAGCTCAAATCAATAATTTTATATTTTGTTATTGTTATAATAAAAACTATCAAATCGGTCTATGAGCTTAACTATAGTTGAAGATGACCAATTTGAGTTATTTTTGGTACCAGACATTTTTTGTTCATATACTGTAGTAATTTTAGATAGGCATATTTTGGATATCGAGTCTGTTTGGGTCAGTTTTGGGTATTGGATTTGTTCGGATCAAACACTTCGGGTCAATTTTGGGTCGGGTCAGATCGGGTCAACTCCATTTTCGTGTAGGGTACAGGTCGAGTTGGTGATTTTGGGTCAAATTCGGGTCATTCGAATCGGGTAATCGAGTCTAGGTCTGGATTGCTAGGTGAGGGCCACACAAATATCCTAATAAGCAAGAACTTGACACACTTGATAATTTCATGTAGCTTAGTTGCTAATTTTATGGGTGGTTCATATGAGGTTGAATCTAGTCAATACCAATGTCATTGATGACTCGCTAAATAAAATGTATGGTGTTGTCTTTGTTCCTAAAAAGAGCAAAAAAAAAAAAAAAAAAAAAAAAAAATCTTATTAGTTTTACAAAGTGACATACTTTATAAGTTTATAGAGTAGAAGTGTAGAACATAAGTGTTGGTCATGTAACTGAACTGCTATTTGACAACCAAAATATACTCACAACATTGTAGATGTCTCTCATGTTATAAGATGCAATAGAGACGGTATTATATCATTTTATTTCATAGGACGAAGTGGAAAAAAAAAATACTATTGCTATAGAAAAATAAAAAATTCTCACACCAATTTGTGTAATTTATTACAAGAATTTTTTTTAGTAATAATTTACACAAATTGGTGTGAGATTTTTTTATTTTTTTTAGAAAGTCACACTTTTTTTTTTTTTTTTTTTTTACACCACTTGTCTTTTAAGATAGTTTCACAAATATTGCACCATATCCATTTTAGGAAAAGAAATATTTATGTTCACACAAAAAGTACCTAATATACCCTAATTTTTCAACTCTTACTTTTTATTGTGTATACAATATTACAATCACATAGGCAACATTGTATATTTACCTTTTCCTCTCATCCTTGTTTCCACTTTCAAAAAATTTGTGTCAAACACTTATGATGCAATAATAAAAGAACCGAAAAATTACTTTATTTGGTAAAGGGGGGGAGGTAAATTATCTAATTATTAGGGCATGTTATTTTCAGATTATTTTCAGTTCAATTCAATTCAATTCTTAATTTTCTTCTCTCATAAAATATTTAATTCAGTTCATTTCAATCAAGCCAAAGTATTCAATCTTTATGGCTTTATGGCCGTATTGCTTAACACGATCACCTAAAACTATGTTTATTCATTTTGGACCCACAACTTTTAGCTCAAAATTTCAGACGTGAAAAAAAAATATGAGAACCAAAGATGAAATGATGAGATCCTAAAGCCTATAGGGCTATATTTGATTAGTTGGGCTCCAAACCCAAATTTGTAAGACACAAAGCCTAGCATCTAAGACCCAAAGCTTACAAAAATGAACAATTCCCCAAATATTAAGGGTCTGTTCCGTTTTATTAAAAATAAGTAAACTAAGCTGCACTAATTGGGGCTGAGTTGAACTGAATGAAAATGAAATGAATTGAATTGAATAGAGCTGAAGTGAATTGTTTATGAGAGAAGGAAATTAGAAATTGAATTGAACTGAATTGATTAGAGCTGAACTGAACTGAACTGAAATTAAGCTGAATGGAACAGGCCCTAAAAATATACTTAAGCTTTCTTAAATAAATAAAAAAAAAAAATATACTTAAGCTACTAGGTTAAAATCCCGTGCAATGCATGGTTATTAAACATTTTTGACAATAGTATTATAAAATATTTTTGCCTATCTTTATTTAGGTTTATATAGAATATGATTGTCAAACTCATACAATACAAATAGTTTACTTAAAGATTTTACAAAAGAAAAAAAAAAATACAGCAAAAACGACGGGAAAATATTTCACAAGGTAATGACAAGTGTCATTGATTATTTCGCTTTTAGTATAAGGGCCTGTTCATATTTATCTTTCAAAGTGGGTTTATCTTTCTTGACAAATCTCGAAGATGAACCCTTACTTTCTTCTTTCTTCTTCCCTGAAATTTTGATGGGTGCAGAAGAAGTAGTCACAGACAACGTCTCCTTAGTTGAACTTTTGGAGGACTTGTCATTTTTATAATACTCCTATTTTTCTTTCCTGGCTTCTGAAGCAAGCCCCTTTTTCTTCCTGTTGTAGGTGATCGAGAGTTCCATGTCATGAGCTCTCGTCCCAACTCTTGAAAAGATCTTGGTTTGATACCCTTTAGGATGTAATGTAGTTCCCAACTCATCCCATTAATGCACATTTCTATGGCAGAAGTTTCAGTGAGTCGATCCTTACATTCCAAACTTAGAGCGCGCCAGCGGTTGATGTAATCAATGACTGGCTCTTCATCCCACTGCGTAGTTTGAGTTAGCTCAGTCATGCTAACGACACGCTCAGTGCTGAAGAATCGCCCCAAAAACTCCATTTCCATTTGATCCCAACTGTCAATGGACTCAGCCTCTAAGTTGGTGTACCAGTCAAAAGCGGTTCCCTTAAGAGAACGAACGAATTGTTTAACAAGCAGGTCACCCTTGGTACCACCATTGCTGCACGTCTCTATGAAGTGTGCAACATGTTGTTTTGGGTTACCCTTTCCATAAAAGAGTTGAAATTTTGGAGGATGGTATTCAAACGGCATTTTCAGCTCATCTATCCTCCTAGTGTAAGGCTTCACATAACTTCGACTATTATATGAACCTCCCCCTCCAAGTTGGCTCTTGACAGCATTGACTATCATAGCTTGAACTTGTTCAGCAGTGATTAAATTTTGTGCCCCATTTGGCTTTAATTCCGTCGATTTAATGCTACCATCTGAGTTGTCATCGCTTTCAGTCTCAATCGTTTTTTTCTCAAGTTTCTTTGTCAAAGCAGCAATTTGTTCATTTTGCTGTTTGATTTGAGCATCTTTTTCCTCCCCATCTTTCTTCAGCTGTTCAAGGGTACTGCTCATTTCAGCCAGTTGTTGTTCGACCGTCTTAGTGTGCGTCACCATAACAGCAACAAAAGTAGGTTCAGTTGAACTCACACTAAACCCATTCTCATGTCCTTCATAAGAGTGTTCGAAGGATAAGTTTGTTGGATGACAGGCTCTAATGAACCAAACACAAGACTCTCATGTGGTTCATGAGTGGAGGACGTGAGAGACCTCACAGAAGCAGCAAGACGAGCGCGACTTTTTCGTGCTTTGGTTGGGATTGACGCGGCATGCAAGCTTCTTGCGGCGGAGTCAACAACAACTTCCTTCATTCCTCTAGTAACGATGCCCTCATCAGTTTGGCTGTTAAGCATTTCAGCCAACTCAGCAACCCTTTGTTGAGCTGTAGCAGAGATTCTTTTGACGACAAGGGTCTTTAAGGCCATTTCAAGTTTTTTTTTATTTTTTTTTTATTTTTTAGCGTGCGGAAACAGAGATGAAAGGCAGAGATAGTCCCAC